TCTAAAACATTCTAATTTTTACTTTTTTATGAGTTTCATGTCTAATAATTCCAATTACGTTGAACTATAAAATAAAAATTATTAAATAAAAAAAATTTTAAAATCAAAAGCTCATCTCTATTTAACATTAAAATTATGTAATTCAAATTATATAATATATTTTTATATTTTATAATTTAAATAATAAAATATTAATCACTAATAACATGGAATCAGTGATTATAGGTGCGAGCTTTTTTAATTAAAAAATAATATTTTATAATTTAATACAATTTATATATAAAATATTATAATCTAATCATGGGGTTTTTTTCATACTAAATTTTATTAAAAAATTATTTTTTATTTTTAAAATTTCATTTAAAGAGAATATTTTTTTTACTTTTATCACCAAGATAGTTGGTCACTAATGGCAGTGTTTCCACCGTTTAGAAAAAAAAAAAGAAAAAAAAAGCAGTGTCACATATTTGCCGCTCCATGTCCCCAATCTATGTTAATAAATATTAAAAGAAAATTGAATGCAGGAAAAAGGGGAGTCCCCAATGTTATGTTTTTTTCAAAAAGAAAAAATTGAATACAGGAAAAATGGGAAAAGGTAGATAGGAGGGGGAAATGCTAGGGAGGGGTACAGCACTTCTTTTATTGGTGCAGCGGTAGGCTATACAGGATACAGACCACACAGCTGTGTTTGTTCATTTCAAAGTGACGTAAGGTGTTTTTGTCGTATATGGTCCGGACTAAGAGTCCCTCTTTCTTCATCCAACGGCCTGGGAGATTGCGATCTGCAATCCTTCCCCAGATTTCCCCCGACTTCGTGTCAAATACTACTGTTTTTATTTAAAAAATAAAAAACTTGAGTTTGAGAAATATGATGACACGTGGGTAAAGCGTGATGAGAAATAAAAAATGTTATTTTTTATTATATAATTAATATAAAAAAATCATTAGTACTAGGTTATTATCTCATTTTTTAAGGTTAAATTTAATAAATAATTTAGTAATTATGTGATTTATTTTAATTTAATTTAAAAATATTTTTTTAAAAATTATTTATAAATTATTAATTTTGTTTCAAAATAATTTATTTGACAAATATGTCGTTACTAAACTAACGGAATATTGATCTAGACAAGTTGGTGTAAATAAGTTGTTTCTTAAATTTTTGAAAAATATTAAATATAATATATATATTTTTGTAACATTTTACTTTTAAATTTTAAAATTTATTTTTTTAAAAAACTTAGTACTATTATTTAATTACATATTTTTTCACTAATTTGATTAGAAAAATAAAAAATTTTATTTTTGTTTTTAACACTAATAATACATGCATGATTTTAATTTGGGGACTTGTAAAATTGAAGTGAATTTTTATTTTTTAGGTAATTTTAATTATGTGCAATGCTCATTTAATTAATTAAATTTTAAAAAGGTTTATTTATTAAAAATATTAATATTTAATAATAAATTAAATTTGTTTAGAAATAATAAAATTTAAATTATAATATTAATTATTGTAAATTAAAATTAGAATATTAATTAATGTAAATTAAAATTTCATCTTAATTAATTATTACATTTGACAAAAAATTTAAATTTCAAAAACAAAATGTTGTAAAAAAAATAAAATATATGTACTATATTTAACATTTTTTAAAAGTTTAGGAGAATTTCGTTAACCTAATTAACGGAATGTTTGTCAGGTAAACTATTTTGAAATAAAATTGATAGTTTATAAATGATTTTGAAAGAAAAAATTGTTTCTAAACTAAACTAAAATAAATCATATAATTAATAGATTATTTATTGAATTTAACTCATTTTTTAAGGACAAACCTTTAATTTTACCCTTTAAATAAAAGATTAAATGTATATTTATTTTTTTAAAAATTAAAATAAGTTATTTTTTAAAATTATTTATTTAATAAATTCTTTATTATTAAATGCATGACATTATTATATATTAATTTTTTATTAAATACATATTTAAGTAATAATAAATTTTTAATATGTGAAGTATTAAATATTAAATATTAAATAATTCATCTTAATTAATAATTTAAATAAACAATTTATTTTTACTTTTTTTTTTAAGTAAATCGGTTCCTAACTACTTCTTTGAGGCCAAATTTTTCCGACTACATACATTAATACTAAAATTATTTCATCTTTAGTACAATTTGGTGGTACATACTATATAATTTTTGTCTTCTACTCATCATGAAAAATACAACATTTTTAAATGAAAATCATATTTATAACAAGAAATATGATAATACTCTTTTTTAAAGTAAAAACTTTTGTACTCAACTTAAATATCAAATTTGAGACTTAAAATTTAAAGTGTTAAATTCTTATCAATTTAAAATACATTTTAAGACTTGTAAAAACGAAGTTGTAATAACATGCTTTATCAAAAAGAAATATTATACCAAAACATATAACTGACGATTATTCACTGCAAAAAAACCTCATATCTACAAAGGTATGAGAAGCTATGTAGAGTTGTTATGTCTTCAAAACATCAAATATATTTAACCAAAAATCATTGATATCTTTTACTGCAAATCTCACAAAAAGGTCTAGCCATTGTGGCATGCATGAATTTGGGTTCTAAATGATGAAACTGTGCTCATGGCCTCATTGTGCTCTGTAAAATACGCACTTGATTCTTTAAATTTATTAATATTAAAGATGAAATCTTAAAAATACTTGAGGATTAAGTTCACCCTTTTCAAATTGTTAGTGGGTAAAGAGTAATTTTCAATTCATGTGAGGCTTAAGTGCATGTTCTTTAAGATTTAAGAGGATTATATGCACCCAGCTCAAACCTCAAGATAATTAAGTGCAATTTGCCCTTCAAAATTTTAATACAAAATTAATTGTGAGAAGTGTGACCACTGAAGGGTTCACAATTAGTTAGCAGTACAAAATTGTACAGTGGTTCCATTCTGTTTTCGCCCAATAAGAGAAGAGGAGTAGTAACATTTTAATCCTCTTGGGGAAAGACAAGCAATTGTGAGTTTCAATTGCCTGTCATTGTATTACTTATCTTGAATTAATTGATCATTGATGTTCATCTTTACCATCTGAGTTTGACTTCGTTTTGCACTGCCGTCCGCCTGCCCAATTAATGGAACATTTGAATTCTTACCCCTTAACTACACTGCACTTTTTTCGAATATTTGAAATTGTAACAATAAAATTCTTTATTCGTTCATCCCCCATGACACAGCCTGAGTGTGGTCCATGGGCTAAAACCTGAGATGAGTTAGGCAACTTAATTTCCTACTATTAATTTACCACTATCATTATTGTATTAGGGTGGCACAACTTCTCGTCGTTGAGTCCGAACTCCAACGGAACCAAATCATTATTGTATTAGGGTGTTAGTTGAGTCAACCTTCCAAGACATGTTATTGATATAATTTTTGCAAAAATAGGATATCTGAATCTACCCCAAAGTGTAGTGGTAAAGACAGACCTATTCTCGAATAAAAAATAAAAATAAATCTACTCATAAAATTTTTAATTTAGATAAATCACTTTAAATTTAATGTATGACGTAATTTAACGTCAACAATACGTTAATTTAACGTCATCTGACGTCAACCATCTGTTATTAGCAACATAATAAATTAACGGATTGTTAACATTAGATGATGTTACACGTTAAATTTAAGATGATTTATCTAAATTAAAAACTTTGTGGATGAATTTATTTATTTTTTTTATTCGAGAGTAAATCCATTCCTGCCACTATATTTTGAGAGTAGATTAAGGTATTTTACCTTTTACATATTAGACTAATATCTCTTTGTGATTTTAAGGCACATATCTATATTAACTTGATAGATTATATAAAAGGAATTAATCATTTTTTATCTTTTTAATAGTTTAATTCATATTACTTACATGATATATAATTCAAATTTAAAATATTTTACTACTTCTATTAAAAAAATTATTATTAAATTGCTAACCAAATTTAAAAAATTTATAAATACCTCCATTTACTTAAAAAATACCCTGTCAGGAATTTATAATTCTAAACAATTTTGAAAAAAAAGGTTTCTTTTTTCCTTTTTGTTTTTATGGTCAACTTTGAAAAGGTTGTTCATTGGACTCTTTAGTATTGGACTCTTAAAACAAAATAGAGCGTATGAAATACTGGGCCGGATAGACTAAAAGGAAAATATTGGGTCTGGACTACAATAGGTAATGTTGTACAGCGCAGATGAACATTAGACTTTAGACCTAGCTTCGTCTTTTACGGGCCCAGACTTGGAGAAGCTGAAAAAAGACGTTGTTGTCAGAGATTCAACAGTTGAGTTCAGCTGACTGAAAGTGAGAAACACTATTTTCTGCACCATGAAAAATTGAAGCATCTTTATTAAATTAATAGGTAATTCCCACCAAATTATGTTTTCTTTATTATTAGTGGATTTTTTATTTCTTTTAAAGAAGGCAAATTCAGTCATCGTCTCAATCATGTAAATTTTGTTTGTGGGTATCAATGTTTTAGCTCACAAATACTAATTCACTACCATTGATTTGTGATTTCAGGCAGTGGGTAGCAATTCAATTTGTGTTTTCCATTGGAGTGTAGTAGG